GCCTGGAAGCTTAGCAGCCTGTCTCAGAATTAAAAAAAAAAAGTAGGCCATAGCTCAGTGCAAAGGCCTGGGTTCAATACCCAGTACTATGAAAGGAAAGGAGGAAAGAAGGAAGGGAGGAAGGGAAGGAGAGGAAGGGTATAGAAATGTTAGTTCTGTGCAAGAGAAGGTAAACAGCACGAAAAGACAAGCTACTGGCAAGGAGGAAATATCTGCAAACCACTTACCTGACAAGAAACCTCACCTAAATCCATAAGGAGCCTTAGAAACTCTGAAGCGAAAGGACAGTCCCCACAGAACAGGGCACAGAGAGGGACAGCCACGTCCCTGCAAAAGAAATGTGGACAGCCAACGAGCAGGAGGAGACGCCTGGCTTCTCACAAGGGAAATCAGGAGAAACGGCAGTGGTGTTACCAGCCCGCACCCATCAGAGTGGCAAAGACGCTGGCACGGTGACCCCGCAGGCCTGGGGACACCACAGCCCGGCAGGATGGAGGAGCACTATTCTCATGCCCTGGTGGGGTGTGAAAGGGCACAGCCCTTGGGTGAGCTGCAGTTTCTGAACTACATGCACAACTACTAGCAACCCAGAACATTACATTCTTGGGCATTTATCCCAGAGAAATGGAAACCTACACACAGCAATTTAGCTGGGTGTGGTGGCACACATCTGTAATCCCAGCACTCTGGGAGGCTGAGGCAGAAGGACTGAAAGTTTGAGCCCAGCCTGGGCAGCTTAGTGAGCTATGGAGACCCATCTCAAAATAAATAATAAAAACAAAGGCTGGGGATATAACTTAGAGGCCCTAGGTTCAATCCCCAGCACCACAAAAAAGTGTATGGCAGCTCTATCCATAATAACCCAAGACTAGAAACAACCTAGGGCCCCTTCAACAGTGATCAACAAACTGTGATCCACCCATGCTACCGAACACAGGGACGACACACACACACACACACACACACACACACACACACACACACACACAGGAGAATCTCGGCTAATCTCCTGAGAATCATGCCTGAGCAAAAATCGCAACACCAAAAAGTTACATTAGGTGTGGTTTTACCTACATAATATTCTTGGAATGGCAAAATTACAGACCTGGTGAACAGACTAGTGGTCATCAGAGATCCAGGAGGAGGCAAGATAGACAGGTGGCCGTGAAAGCACCCCAGTGAGGGGACGCTGCATGACTGTGTGAACACCGGCACCCTGGCCACGCCGGGGTGGGGCTCTGCAGGTTAGGGCAGGAAGGAGGAGGGAGACGGGCGCACGGGACCCTTCTGTGTCACACTCCCAACTCCACGTGAATCTACAATTCTCACAGAATTTAAATTTTAAAGCCATATGTGGTGGTGCATGGCTGTCATCCCAGCACTTGGGAGGCTGAGGCAGAAGGGCTGCTGGGAGTTCAAGGCCAGCCTGGGCTACATAGTGAGACCTTATCTCGAAAAACAGTGTTTTAGATTTAATTTAAGAATAAGAATCCAGGGCCGGGGATTCAGCTCAGTGGTTTCGCCACCTGCTGCGCAAGCGGAAGGATCTGAGTTCGATCCCCGGTACCAAAAAAAAAAGAGTAAGAATCCAGTTCCCTTCACCCTAACCTGGATTGCCTCCAGCGGCTCAACTCCTTTGAAAGGGCGGGCTATACTTGAAGCCTCCCCCGCTGTGGCCCACACTTTACCAGGATTTATTATCTCCACCACTCAGTCTGCTCCCCTCAAGTCCACCAACAACCTTCCTCCTGCCAAATGCAAAGCTCAGGGCTTCTCTTTCCATCTTCCTTGACCTCTCAGCAACATCGGACCCAGGGGATCTCCACCTTGAAACTCTGCTCTGCTTCCAGCACACAGGACGTTCCTAATGGCACTGCCACCCATATAAGAGCAACACCGCAGCCTCCTCTGCTGGCTCCCCCTTTCCTCCTGGCTTCCAAATGCTGCAATTCTCCCCTACAGTCACCAACCAGGCGATCTCACCCTGTCGCATCACTTCAAGCACTGTCCATGCGTCAATGACTTCACATATGCATCCTGGGCCCTGCTGTCCCTTCTGAGCTCCCTCTTACAGGCCCAACACCTCCACCCGGATGGAAACAGTGACCAACAACTTTGCGGAGCCAAAACAAAACCCTGGAGTTTCACCCGCCCACACTAGAAGGAAACCGGAAGAGTGCTTTGCTCCCAAGTTTTCCTTTGTTGTTAGTGGCACCTCCTTCCCCAGGAGCTCAAGTCACACCATCCTGGACTCTTGTTTCTCTCACATTGCTCATCCAATCCAGAGCAGGTCGCTTGTGTTAGCATCAAAACAGAACCGTCACTCTGCCCCCTAACAGTCCTCTCCTCAGATCTGAGTGCATCTCAATCACCAACCAACATCCACCTCTCATGGCACCTTCGCACACAGCAGGGGAGCAACACTTCCCAAGCCCTCAGAGGAAACTTTGAATCAAGTCCAATGGCCTTTCTAGGAACTCCTGGGTAACAGAAAGTCCTACAGGAAGTCTCAATTCAGGTCTCAGAATGTCCAGTCCCAGCTGGCAGTCAGACTGCCACATGCTGCATGTGGACAGCCGTCCCCCGAGCTGGCTGCCCACAGCTGGCCCTTTCAATGGGAGAGGAGCCCAGGGCCTCACAGTCCTCCACGCCCAGCACTTTCCTGCCCCGGGGTTGCTGACCCTCATGGTGGCAAAGCAGGGGTGGTGGAGGAGGGAGCAGGCCAGTTCTTTCTTGCATGGCACTGTCCTGAGATACTGTCATCTCTCTAGCCTGTGAAAACGTCTGCTGACTCACATCTCACAAGGCACTTCTGCAAGCTCTGCAGCCATATGATCCCACAGCCCTTCGCAGATCAGAAGAGCGGCTTCTCTTCCCCACTCACTGCCCACTTTGCAGCAGAGGCTCTGGGATCCATCCTGGCCACCTTGCCTCCCCTGACAACAGCAGGGCCCCTGCTCAATCTCTCCCTCCCATGGGGAGCCCAGGCACCAGCGCTTGCAGCCCACAAAGCTCCTCTCCAGAGTCTTCTCCAAGTTCCTGTCCAGTCTCCCAACACTGACCTGGAGGCCCTTAGCAAGGTGAAGTGGAGCTGGGCAGCTCCTGCCACCCACTCTGGTCGTGCATGGTGCCAATCCTGTCACCTCTGCCTCCAGGGGCCGCCGCCCAACTTTCAAGGCGCAGCCCCGAAGCATTTATAGGTCTGGTTTCCAGACTTCACAGGCCCTGTCTGCCAGCGCCCTCTCACTGGCCACCCACATTTCTGCATCCTCCCTTGCCTCCTCCAGGCGCTTGCCATCATCTGGGTCCCGTGTGCTGAATGCCTCCGCTCACCCCTGTGCAAGCCGTGCCCAGTGCCCCTGGGTCCCCACTGAAATCTGTGCCCTTTCCTGGCCAGGGCCTCCAGCCTGGGGGTCTGTTTCCTACCCATCTCCTCCTAGGGGATCCTGTCCCAGAAAAAGACAGGGGCATCTGAGTCATGATGGGTGCCAGCTAAGCCCCAGCATGTACTGAGTGCAGGCTGCAGAGACCTGGTCACACAGCCTTTCCTTTGGGCGGGGCTGGCAGGAACATGGCCGGCTCAGAGCTATTTTTAGGGCCTGTCCTTGTGGAAACTGCTCCTGGGTTGGTTACAGAGAGAGAATAGCCACAGTCTTCATCAGTGCCTTTGTCCCTGCTCCTCGTTCCCTTGGTCACGTGAGCCTGCCATGGCCGGGACTCTCAGATGGGAAGGGGCCTGGGTCCACAGACCCTGCAGCTTTCCCTTGGCTGCTCCTCTACCTGCTCAGCAGGCTTCAGAGACCGCCCCCAGCATCTACCCAGTGACCGCTGAATGCCCAGCCGCACAGCAGCCCAGGGCCCCATCAACCCACGGAGAGCACAGGGCAGAGGGCCCGCCTCACTCCTTCTTCCTGTTCCTGGCAGTCATGGCCACAACCTCGAGAGGCCTTGAGGATGCACAGGACCCAGAAGCACGTGGCTCAAGGAGCGCCCTTTGCCCGAGGACCCCACACAGAACACAACCCCCAGCTACCCAAGTCCATAGGCCAGGCCGCCCTTCTCCACCTCCCAAAGCCCCGAGGCAGCAGCTTCCTTGTGCTCACACCCGGGTGCTCACAGCCTTTTGAGGGGCAGCAGGGGAGGTCTTCGCACAAAAAAGGCACTGATCTGCTTGAGAGTCAATAGCAGTGTCCACCAAAGAGACCCAGGTAGAGGGAAAGTGGGAGTGAGCCAGGTTCCCACAGGCCTGACCCTGGACTCCTGTGACGGACACCATGCCCAGGCTGGCACAGCAGTGAGGGGGTGGAGACCAAAGAGGAACCTGTACCAGACAGGCCAGACAAGAAGGAAACAAACCTGCAGGACCCAGGCTCCCACCCAGAAATGCAGCGTGAGCAGGGTACTCCCGGGATGCAGCTCTGTGCACCCCTAAGCCCCTGTGCTGCTCCCTCACCTTCGCCTCAGCCTTGGCCCAAAGACACCCCAGACATCCCTGATCCTGACTGGACCAAAAGACCCCAGCAGGACTGGTTCGGTTGTGGTTCACAGTGGGCCACCTGCAGGTTAGGGCGAATTCCCAGGCCTCTCTGTGACCCCAGGCACCATCCTCAGGGTGAGTCCCCAGGGACACCACCAGACAGGTCTCCACAGAGCAGGCCCATGGGGAGCACAGCCATGGTGCTGCTGCCATCGACACCAGCAGCATCTTCTGAGATTTTCTCAGCTGACTTCCACCCCTGGCCCTCAGCCAGAGCCCCCAGAAGGACCTTGGTCAAGAGTTGGAGCATAAACTGACCATGGAACCCTTTGACAAAGCTTCTGGACAGGGGCCCTACAGCTCATCCTAGGGAAGTTCAGGGCTGAGGGCCGAGCTGAGGCTCTTAGTTGAAACTGCCCCCAAATGGGACCCTAGAGCACAGCCTGGGGGCTCCAGAGCCCACCGAAGCTGTGACTCACATCGCGAAGGGTGTGAGGGCAGAGCCCACCCCCAGGCAACTCACATTGTAGAGGATGTCGGTCCAGCCCTCCATAGTGATGCACTGGAACACGGTCAAGATGGCAAACAGGATGTTGTCAAAGTTGGTGATGCCAAAGTTGGGTCCCGGCCAGTACTCCCGGCACTCGGTGTCACCCTCACAAAGCCGGGCTGGGGCGTCCTTGCCACAGGGGAAGTCACCGACAGGGTCCGCATCTGTGGAGAGGAGAACGAAGAGCACCACACTCTCCAGCCCAACTGGGGCTCCAGGGCTCTGGAGAGCTCACTGCAGCCAGCAATACCCCACTCTCTTCCTGCACCTGCACCTGCACCAGGTCTCTCCTCCGGCCTGCAGTCAGCCTTCTCAACTCAGACCTCCCTGCTGAGACACCTCTGTCCGTCCATCTCTCCCTTAGTGCTGGAACCAGACAAACCAACCACCCTGAGTTCTCCTCACCTACACAGCCAAACCACCAGAGCCTCCTGAGATCTGACTGTCACTCTGCAGGCAGCAAGGCCGTGGTTGGCACCAGGCTGGGCTCCACCACTGCAGGGCAGCTGCGTCAGCCCAACCTTTGGCCTGACAAGAGGCTAGGACCTCCAGCCAGGCCTCGCTGCACTGCCCCACAGGCGGGGACCCTCTACCAACTGCATCCTGGCAGGCACAGGGGGACCAGCTAGAGAGGATGAGGGACACCAGAACACTGCTATCTCTGAACCAAGATGGCAAGCAGACCGTGTGTCCTCGTCACTCACAACTCCCAGTGAAAAAGCAAATTTCTAAAAAAATGTATAATAACACATGAAAATCCCTTTTATGAACACAGAAGAAATTTTTTTTTCTTTTTTTTTTTTTTTTTTTTTGCAGTACCGGGAGTCAAACTTAGAACCTTGTGCTTGCAAGGCAGACACGGTACAGTGAGCTAAATCCCCGGCCCAACACAGAAGAAATTTTGAGGAATTGCTAGTATGCAAAGCAAGTACCTCCAGGGTTAGAAGGCAAAACTGACCACATAAATATATTTCTCTCTCCAAATATGTTGATAAACACTAAAAGGAGCCATTGCTTGTCTATAGGTAGACTGCATTCTCTGTGAACAATCACAAGTTTTGTTGCTGTTGTGCTTGTTTTTGCAGCACTGAAGACTGAGCCCAGGGAGGCCTCTGCACTGAGATATATCACCAGCCCTCTCTTCAGTTTCTAATTTTGAGGTAGGGTCTTGCTAAATCGCATCCTCCTGCCTCAGCATCCCAGAGTGCTAGGGTTACAGGTGTGCATCACATGCCCAACTTGCTTCCTCCTTTCTAATTCTTTTTTTTTTTTGGTACCAGGGATCAAACTTGGGACCTTGTGCTTTCGAGGCAGGCACCAGAACCACTGAGCTAAATCCCTGGCCCTCCTTTCTAATTCTTAACAAAATTTCTCTTCTTTCTCTTGTCTCCTGTCACTGGTCATAACTACCAAAGCTGCATAGGCTAGAACCAACCATCTGCAACCTGACTTGCTCCTAAATCTAAAGGAAAATCTCTCAACTTACAATGAAGTTTATGTTTGCAGAAAATTTTAAGGAATTCAACAAAATTATCTGTTATTTCCAGTTTGATAATGGTTTTTCTTAATCACAAATGATTTAAATTTTAGGAAAAGCTTTTCAGTATCTAAGATGGTCCTTTGAGTTTTCTCCTTTAATGTGTTTACAGTTCAAGCACAAACCTCAGAGTCTTAACTCTTCTTTCTCTCTTATCCTTCACATACTCTGAAAATCCTGCGGCTTAATCTGTGTAAACTACCTCTATCAAACACAAGCCGTGGCAGACATCTCTCCCGCACGGAGAAACTCCCCTACGCAATCATTCCCACCTTTGTCCCCTCACAGCAGTCAGAGACCAAAAGATGCCACATCTTGCCCAAAGCCCTCCACTGTCTTCTCGTTTCTCCCAGAGTACGACTCATGTTCTAACTATGGCCACAGAATCCCATGACTTCTCTCTATTCTCACTGGTCCTCACCTAGGGCTTTTGGACTTCCTGTTACTTGTAACTAAGATATCTGCCCAGGTGAGCACACAGCTCCTGCTCTTACTACTGTTCAGAGTTCTGTTCAACTGTCACCTGAGCAAAGAGGTCCCCTGGCCACCCTCTGTAGAGCAGGCCCCAAATTATTCTATTTCAAATATATTTTTGTTTTCATCCCAGAAGTCACTACAATCTGTATTATTTCATTTATGTGTCTATTTACCTGTGTTTATCAGATTGCTGTCTGTGCCCTCCACTAGAGTATAAGCACCACCTCACTTGTCTGGTACCTAGAAGGCCCCTCCAGCGCCTAGAATACTGCCTATCTCCTGGACGAATGAATCTGTGATCCTTGTCCAAACCCAAGGGCTGCTACTGGACCTCACCTGTGCTGTTGGGGAAACAGGCCTTGTGGAATTTCCCCATGTAGAACTCGAGGCCAATGATGGCAAACATGAGGATGGCGAAGAAGAGAAGCAGCCCGATCTGCAGCAGCGGAACCATGGCCTTCATGATGGACTTGAGCACCACCTGTAAACCTGGGACCAGAGCAGGCAGAACAGGGCAGGTCAGATAGCAAAGTGGTAAAGCAGGGAGCAGGGCGGGGTGTAGGCGGAGTTACAAGAACCTAGGGAGAGGAAGAGCTGAGAGTCTTGGGCTTAGATGCTGAATATTAAGTGTTTATGGGGAGCAAAGACAGAGCCGACAGCACTCAAAGTAGGACATAGAGCAGGGAATGCTGGAGGAAGGACAGAAGAGTGTATACTCATGGAGAACAGAGTGGACAGTCCTCAGGGACAAAGAATGAGGTCCTAGGGAGAGGTGGACTAAGTAGTGTCTCAAAGTAGGAGGAGAAGCAGGTGGGGGTGTTAGCTGATGAGATCATGGATTTAGAAGACTCAGGGTAGAGCAAGGGCAGAAAATTCTGAGAGGAAAGAGAATAAGATACAGAGAAGGAAGAGGAGAACCCTGAGAGAAAGAATGAGAGGATTCTGAGAGAAAAGGACAGGAATCCTGGGAAGGAAGACCAGAGAATTCTGGGAGCTAAGAGGAGAGGATCATGGGAGAGGACAGCAGGGAATGCTGGGATCCTGAGAGGGGAAAGCAGGGGGGTCCCAAGAAGTAAGTACAACAGTTCCTAACGGACCCAACTCCTTGGGGAAGGTAGGACTGCTCTTCCAAAACCAGGGAGTATTTTTTCACTGGCCATAGGACATGACTGAGTTCAGGCCACAGGGACTAGGCACAGGAGGTCATAATCCCATAATCCCGGATACAGGTCAGAGCTCTTGCCTGTTCGTGGTAACACAAGGAGCCAAGCAATGCAGTGGTCTCCAGAGGACACCACACTAGACCCCTGCCCACCCAGGTCCTCAGGTAAACCTAAAGCCAAACTTCCACTGGACTGGAGGAACAGCAGCCAGGGTGGTCACTGGTTCATAATATTCCCCTGGCCACCCTCTGGCCCATGCTCTTCTCTTTGGCCCAAACCAGGAGCGTATCTCATGTCCAATCTCAGCCCCTCACTGCCCTGCTAAGCCTGAGCCAAGACATGTGGCCCTTTGCAGCCTCTGCATACTTTCCCGGGAATCCTGCCCTATCACCTTGATCAATCTCTCATCTGTTCTTTTACCTAGGAAAGGAAGCAAGGAGCTGGGAACAGCTATGAGGAGCAACAAAGCTTCCACCCAGGGAAGCCAAGCCAGGGCAAAGTAGCAGGATCGGCCTGTGGGACTCTATGCAGAATGGATTGGAAAAGGTCTGTTCCTCTCTCCCTTCTTACCTGGTTCCCTGGAGTCAAAAGTGGCAAGCTCAGGGGACAAGGTGTGTAGCTCAGTGGTGGAGTGCACTCAGCATGAACAGAGTTCTAGATTGAATCCCCAGCACCCCCACCACCACCAAAAGAAGACGAGCTACAGGGGCTTAACCGCGGCCATCACTGTGGCGAGAGGAGGGAAGGAGCCTGCTGGTCCCGTTAGGCTTGGGCCTGACTCTCTCATCCGGACTCACTTGGGATCCCAGACACCAGCTTCAGGGGCCTTAGCACACGCACAGCCCTCAGTGTGCGCAGGTCAAAGTCAGTTCCAGCCGTGGCAAGGATCCTGATAGGAACAAGAAGAAGGAAGTAAGGGCTTCCACGTTGAATCTGACAAGAACTCATTCCTCCCACCAGCTGTGTCCTTTCTCCCATGAGCAGCACATGTTCGCGCCTGTGTCCCCCATTATCCAACCACCTGCAGCACGGGGGCGGGGCTTGCAGGCAAGGTCAAGCAGGAACTGAGCCCCAAAGGCCTCACCAGGATACATGCTGGTCATCACTTGGACCTGTATGTTGATCACTCCTCTATTCAAAGGCAGCATCTCTGAGCAGACACCTGGCCGCTGGTCTAGCAATGAACTTGTCCTGAGTCCAAGCCTGAACCATATTCCCCAAGAACCCCGAGTCCACTTCAAACTGCCCCATGACAGGTGGCACTGAGCGGAAAAGGAGTACGTGGAGCCTTGCACCACGCACTACCCTTCCTTGCCTATCTCAGAAGAGAAGAAAAATGGGGGCTGGGAAGGTAGAACAGAGGGCTCAGAGGACTCAGAAAAACCGCTGTGGTATGATGTCACCAAGATGCCACTGGCTCCGCCCCCCCCCCCAACGGGACCGCAACAAAGAAGTAAACAACTAAATTCTGATTAAAGTGACTAAGGAACCCCCCCCCCCCCCCCCCCGAACGGGACCGCAACAAAGAAGTAAACAACTAAATTCTGATTAAAGTGACTAAGGAAGTACACTGGAGAGTAGCAGGGAAGTCGTAAGATCCCTGAAGAGCCCAAACACCAAGGAAATACCATCAGAAGGACAGAGAGACATCCTTCCTCTCCCACGCCATCTCCCTCACCAGAGCAGCGTGGAGCCAAGACGGACTTCTCTTTACAGGGAAAAGTAAGCTGGAGACCTCCAACAGCCCCTCTGCTGCTCCAGAAGACTGCCTAGGAGACTTCTACAGGCAACACAGGGCAGGAACAGTTTGGAGAGGTTCTCAGAGTTCATATGGCTGTACTGCCAGAGTAGAGATCCAAACCGTACGCCTCTCACCCCACCCGGAAGCTGTGACCCACTGCTGGAGTGCATCCCACCCTGGGCCCAGCCGTCATGTTGTACCCTCATTCCTGAGACCACCTGCATCCATCATGCTCACCCAGGTGGCCGCAGCCCATGATCCACATTCCTCAGAATTTAGGCCCAGCAGAAAGTCTGAGATCTGCTTTCCAAACCCATGCAGAACCCCATCTCCCAGAGACCAGGAAGACTACCACAGGAAGGAAGCTAATACTCCCGCAGTAGCCCATCGCACCTGACTGCCAGTCAGTGGCCTCGCCCCAGCAGAGAGCCTGCCTCATAGCCGAGCACGGCCCATCAGCCAGACGGCAGCAACCCTCAGCTCAGTGAGCCCGCGACCTTGCAACACCCACAAGGACCTGCACCTGGCCTGGGCTTCCCAAGCCATGCCCTCCCGCAGGGCACCTCTGCATAGCCAGCCAGCACACAGCAAACTCACGCACCAAGCCGAGCCCAAAAGCCAGCCAAGGGGCACCCGGCCCACCGAGAGCTCACCACATAGCCTCGGGCCCAAAGCCAGCCAGGCAGCTTTGTCCATAGGGAACGGCACCCACCATCAAGTCACACCCACCACACACTAGGCTACTGACACAACCACCAATGTTACAGTGAGGGTTACAGCAGGACCTCCACAGGGACCACACTCCTACATCCACCCAGAATCAAGCCTAACACACCATGCTCAGCTGACACCCTCATGCCCACTCACAGAAGAATCCTCTCCTCACAGCGAAGAAAATAAAAAGAACCAACGCCATATGACTGAAAAAGGCAACTACACACTAGATGTCGGACCAAAAGAACAAGAGACATAAACAGGAAAACACGGCCAGGGATTTAGCTCAATGGTTCTGCCGCCTGCCCTGCAAGCACGAGGACCCAAGTTCAATCCCCGGTACCAAAAAAAAAAAAACAAAAACAGGAAAACACGATACCACTAGAGCAGTGACGGCGAACCTTTTCAAGACAAGTGCCCAAAACGCGACCCAAAACCCACTTATTTATCCCAAAGCGCCAACATTGCAATTAAACCTGAATAGTGAGGTTTTAGTTTAGAAAAAGCAACTCTTTATTAACATCTTTTGCTTTAAAAGAAAAACAGCACATGTGCAATAGGTTTACCACCACTGTCCTAGAGGAACACAGTAATTCCCCAGTACCCAACCCCAAAGGAAGAGAAATGTATGAAATGCTTTAAGAGGAAATCAAAATAATGATCTTAAGGGAGCTCAATGAGATACCAATAGGGCACAGACAGTTCAACTAAATCAGGAAAAAACTCATCATCTGAATGAGAATTCAACAGAGACAGACATCATTTTAAAAACACGTCTTGGGCCGGGTATTTAGCTCAGTGGCGCCACACCTGCCTCGCAAGCGCAAGGTTCTGAGTTCGATCCCTGGTACCAAAAAAGCCCCACATCTTGCAGCTGAGGAATTCAAAGAATGAAATAAAGAAATACAATTGATATTAAAAAATACAATTGATAGCTATAACAAGAGAAGAATAAAAAGTTCGTGAAGACATTTCAGAGGAAAAGAATGAAAAGCCTGAAGAAAGCCCACGGCACTTATGGGACTTTATTAGTCAAACAAATGCTTACATGTGGGGTTTCCAGACAGTGAAGAGATGGAGCAAAGCCCAGGCAGCGTATTCAGGAAAATAATGGCTGAAATTTTCTTAAGTCTCAGAAAAGATATGAACATCTAGGTCTATGAACCTCAAAGAACCCTAATTAGACCTAAAGAGGCCCTCTCCAGGGCACATTAGAATTCAGTTTTCAAAATTCAAAGACAAAGAGAATTCTAAAAGCATACAGATAAACACCAAGTCACATATAAGGAAATCCCCATTAACTAAAAGCAGATTTCTCAGCAAAAAACAGGAGAAAATGGAATGATGAATTCAGAGCACTGAAAGAAAAAAACTCTGGGCTAAGAATATTATAACACAGCGAAATTAGCCTTCAGAAATGAAGGAGAAATAAAGTCTTTCTCAGACACACAAAAACTGAAGGAATTTATCATCACTAGGCCCTACAAGAAATGCTTAAAGGAGTTCCATACTTAGAAGAAAAAGGACTATAACTACCATCATGAAAATATAAAACTCACTGGTGGAAACACAAATAAGAGAAGGGAATCAAATCTTATCACTACAGAAAACCACCAAGCCACAAAGATTAACAATAAGAGAGAAAAAAATAATACAAAACAACCAGAAAACAATTACATAATTACTGGAGTAGATCATTACCTGTCAATAATTACCTTGAATTTAAATAGGTTAAGTTCTCCAAAATTGAAAAATACCACATTGCCCATAAGGAACTCCCTTCAGCAGTCACACAGACTGAAAGTGAAGGGACAGAAAAAGATATTCCGTGCAAATAGAAATCAAGACCAAACAGAAATGGTTATATCTGTATTCGATAAAACAGACTTTAAATTACACATTGTAAAGAGCAACAAAGAAAGGTCATTGAGCAATGATGAAAGGATCAATTCAGCGAGAAGATATAACAACTGTAAAAATGTATGCACCCAACCCCAGACCAACCAAATATATAAGGCAAATACTATCAAGTCCAAAGGAGAGGTGGTCTCCAACACAATGATCACTGTGCACTTCAACACCCACTATCACCAATGAGCAAATCATCCAAACAGAAAGTCAACAATAGGCCAGGGATGTAGCTCAGTGGCACCAAGCCTGCCTGGCAAGTGCAAGGTCCTGAGTTCAATTCCTGGTACAAAAAAATAAAAAGAAAGTCAATAAAGTAATACTGGAGTTATACAGACCAAATGGACCTAACAGATATTCATAGAACATTTCATCCAACAGGTGAGGAATATATATTCTTCTCATCAGTACATGGAACATTCTCCAGGACAGAGCAGAAATTAGCCCATCAAAATTACAGCATGTAACTTTTCTTACAATAATGAAATAAAATTAGAATAAACAGATGGAACTGTGGAAATTATTCAACTACACAGAAATTTGCTCCTAAATAATCAACAGATCATGGAGAGAAAGTTTTTAAATTTCTTAAAACAAAAGACGGTGAAAACAATACACAAAATCCCATGGGGTACCGCAAAATAAGTACTAAGAAGAAAGTTAACAGCAACAAATGCCTCCAGCAAAAAGTTGAAAGATACCAAAGAAACAACCTAAAATATAACTCAAAGAGCTTACAAAGAAGAACAAATCAAACCCAAAGTTAGTAGAAGGAAAGAAATAATAAAGATCAGAGCAGAAATAAGCAACAAACCTTTAAGCCAAACTAAAAGAAAAAAAAGTAGTGATGCAAAAATCAGACAAAAAAGGATATATTACAACTGATCTCATAGAAAAGAACTGTCAGAAACAACTACTCACTATACACCAACAAACTAGAAAACTTAGAAGAAATGGATATATTACTGAACACATAACCTTCCAAGACTAAACCATGAAGAAATAGGAAATCCAACAGACTAACAATGAACAATAAAACTGAATGTTAGAAAAAGTCTCCCAACAAAGAAAGACCCAGGTCTGGATGGCTTCACTCTTGATTCTACCAAACTTTTAAAGAATTAACACCAAGTAGTTGAACAGGAAGGAATCCTTCCAAACACATTCTATATGAATGACCACTGTTATCCTGTAGAAAAACCAGACAAGGACACAACTAAAAAGAAAAGTACAGGGGCCGGGGATTTAGCTCAGTGGTTTTGCCACCTGCTGCACAAGCTCAAGGACCTGAGTTCGATTCCCGGCACCAAAAAAAAAAGAAAAGAAAAGAAAAGTACAGACCAATATCCCTGATGAATACAGACACAAAAATTCTGAACAAAATACTAGCAAATCTAACAACATATGGAAAATACTATATACCATGATCACGTGGGACTTAGCCCAAGTATGCACAGACGGTTCAACATACACAGATCACTAAGCACAGTTCATCTCCACCCACAGAATGAAAGACAAAAGCTGTA